GAGGGAGGAAATATCCCTTTTTTACTCCTAAAATGGCACTTCAAAGTGGCCATTTTTTCCTTGACTCTAATTCCTATTATTACCCCCAATTCCTTACTCCCTGTGTATTGCTCAGGTTCCTCCATCTCCCTCACCCTGGCCCTGACAGTTTGCATAAAACTTCCCTGAGGAGATTTTATTTATATATATATATACACATACACACACACACATATAGATATACATATACATACATATGTATGTCTACATATATACATATATATCTCCCTGAGGACATATAGGTATAGATAGGATAAAAACATAGATATACATACATACATAGATATTGTCAAAAACGGCACAATTAAAACCACCAAATCAATAAATAGCATTTAGTAAGAGTTTATTATGCATATAAAAACAGTTCTTGGGAAGAGAGTATAGCTCAGCGGTAGAGCACATGCCTAGCAAGCATGAGGTCCTGGGTTCAATCCCAGACCTATATTAGGAAAAAAATTAAACAAATAAATTACCTCCCCCCACCAAAAAAAAGTATACAGTGCTATATATCAATTATATCTCAATAAAAGGAAGGAAATTTTTTTCCTTCTTCAGTTTTATTAGGTATAATTATTACAGTTTGTACATATGAAAAAAAATTTTTTAAACAGTTCTTGAACTGGGAGTTTCCAAATTCAAAGAATGATATGAAGCTCAGGGCATACAGTTATAAGATGGCTTATAAAGTGAAAATGAGAAAGTTATTAACATTTACAATGACTGGTTATTAAAATGGGGGTCTCCAGATGACAGGGGATGGGTTAAAAGTGATTATCTCCTACCATTTTTAGGAAGATGACAAACTTTTAAAAATTTTTTTAAATGGAGGTACTGGGGATTGAACCCAAGACCTCGTGCATGCTAAGCATGTGCTCTGCCACTGAGTTATACCCTCCCCTTCCATGCAATTTAATATCAAATAAGCCTAAATAAATTAACATTTCACTTTTATAAGGAGAGAGAGCAAATCTTTTGAGATCTTCTAGGGGCCCTTTAGAAAATCCTAAAGTTAGTTTGAGGTCAAAAACTCTTCATTTGGAAGTTGGGGAAAGTTTGTTAAAAATGTCAAAAGATTTAAAACACTTGATCAACATAGGAGCATAAATCACTATGAAATAATACTTATTTTTCCACTTACCAAAGTGACAATTAAAAGACCTCAAAGTCAAAAATAGAAAGTTATATAGTTGTAAATAACCTTACCTCTTAAAATTGAAAACACTCAGTTTTCCTAAGTAATCAAAGATCTGATAAAGACAATATGGAGCACATGAAATATTTCCCAAGACACAGAATCCTTGTTTCCTAGGCATGTCACATTACAGGTAAAGAAAAACCTTTTATAATATTTTATTAAGAGCAGATCAACAATCTAAAAAAGTTTTGTGATTTTAACAGAGAGATAATTAAACTCCAGTTTTGTATCAGTACATTACTGAGCTCATTTTAAAAATATGTTCATGTATAACTGAAAAATTGTGCTCTACACTGGAATTTGACACAACGTTGTAAAGTGATTATAAATCAATAAAAAAATGTTAAAAAAATATCCTTGGGAATAAATGTATTCAATCTCAGCCTGCTATGACCTTACAACATAAAATTTCTTTTCCATAAAACTTCTGCATCTTTCTACTTTCATTTAGGTTTTGTCTTGTTCTTTTTCCTTTCTTATTCTGAAAAAAACCAGTCATTTTATTTTAGACAACATTACTCTGTCTCCTTAAGAAATACACACACTATATTCCTTGCATACACCTCATATAAAATATATCCCACTGTAAATCAACTATACTTCAATTGTTTAAAATTTCAACTTCAGCCTTCATAATAAGGATCCTTTGATGTTCCATATCCCTAGAATCAGCAATATTTTCACTATCATATTGATTCCTTCCAATCAATGTGGGGGAGAGCAATATCAGTGCTCATTTCTTTGAATCAAAGTGAGAAACAGCATGGGCGGAACAGTCTAACATAATATTCATGTGCTGTTGGCTGCAAAGAGTTAGAGGGAAAGAGAAAATCAGCCGTCAGCTCCTTTCCCTACAACACATTGATCAACCAGCTCAGGTGCTTTTGTGTCCCATTCACTTGTGCAGTAACTATTGCTTGTATCCATGCCATGTAAACTCAGTCTATTATTTTCAGGATGTAGAACACATCTATACATCCTTAGTGAGGAACCAGAAGAGCCAGTCTCATAATGAGTGCTTTGGCACTTGTGGGGGATTTATAGCCCTGGGTTTAGATCAATGAGTTTAATTTCTTAATCCTAGTTATTCAGGGGCTTTATGAAGAATGGATAGAAGTTCTGTTGACAGAATTATGGGGTATGTGGCTGTGACAAGATAATGAATATCTCAATTCTACTGGAATTTGAAGGGAGAAAAAAGTATGTAGAAAAATATATTCAAATACTTAGTGAAAAAACTGTTGTTTTTAATTCAAGGATTTTATGGAGTTGTTTTTTTATGAGGAAATGAAATAAACCTGCACTTACATATAGTTTAAAAATCCTATTTTTTCCCTTACTTTATATACAAAGTTGTTTTCCTTCACCCTTTATTGTTTCTAGTAGTTCTATTTTTACATATTGATTATAAATTGTAACTGTGAGTAATCTTTACTTTCCAGTGAAAACTAGGAAGCAGGCAAAAGTGAACTATCATATATTAGCATCCTATAGTAATTAGAAAATTTATAAATACATAGTTATAAAAACTTATACTTTTTAAAAACATGTTTTTCATAATACAATTTTTAATGTGGCAAAAGACATATTTATTAATAAACCCAAATATCTTTTGTCTCTGTAAAAATTATGAAGTCAAAAGTAGATCAACTGAAATTTTCTCAGTAATTATCTTATTTAGAAATGACCTAGATATTTAATAAATATCCATTATTTAGCTTAGTATAAACTTTTATCTTATTTACTTTTATCTAAATTACTTGTTTTTAACAATTATACTTAGATTAGGTATCAGCTAGCCATCATCTTAAGTTATTTTGTAATACAGAGAGGACATGAGCTTATTTGACTAGTAAACAAAGGTAGAAAAAAATTGTATGTTTGCATTACATTTAATATTGACAATTCCAAAAACACACCTGTTTTTATTAAACCAACAAACTTAAACTAGCTTTTATTTATCAAATATTATCCTAAGGGAACCCTCCTATACTGCTGGTGGGAATGTAGTTTGATGCAGCCATTATGGAAAACTGTATGGAGATTCCTCAAAAAACTAAAAGTAGACCTACCATATGATCCAGCAATCCCACTTTTGGGTATATATCCTGAGGGAATTCTAATTCAAAAAGATACATGCACCCCGATGTTCATAGCAACAATATATACAATAGCCAAGACATGGAAGCAACCTAAATGTCCACTGACAGATGACTGGATAAAAAAGCTGTGGTATATTTATACGATGGAATACTACTCGACCACAAAAAAGAATAAAATAATGCCATTTGCAGCTACATGGATGGACCTAGAAATCGTCATTGTAAGTGAAGTAAGGCAGAAAGAGAAAGAAAAATACCATATGATATCACTCATATCTGGAATCTAAAACAAACAAACAAAAAGGACACAAATGAACTCATCTACAAAACAGAAACAGACTCGCAGACATAGTAAACAATCTTACGGTTACCGGGGAAAGGGGATGGGAAGGGATAAATTTGGGTGTTTGAGATTTACAAATGTTAGCCACTATATATAAAAATAGATTTTAAAAAGTTTCTTCTGCATAGCACAGGGAATTGTGTTTAATATCTTGTAATAACCTTTAATGAAAAAGAATATGAAAATGAATATATGTATGCATACATATGACTGGGACATACACCAGAAATTGGCACATTGTAACTGACTGAACTTCAATCAATCAATCAAACTACCAAAAAAAAAAGATTATCCTGATCATGTGAACTTGAAAACGATTGGGTTAGAGTCTCTATTTCTGAGAGTTTTAGGAATACTTAATTTATATAAGTGCTTATTTCTCTTTAAGTCAATTAAGTAGAACTCCTTTGAAAATATCACATATACATAATTTACATATATGGACATACATAATACATAGACAGACACAGAAATCTTAGAGTTTTCATTTTAAAATTTTAGCTATGTCTCAGATATAATAATACAAAACTCAAAAGAATCTGGATCCAAATTTTGTTTCTGGCAGACAAACTAACTTAAGGTTATCTGCTCAGATGATGTCAAATGGCCAAAGTTTTTTACTGAAGAATGTGGCAGGGAGGGGCGTGCGCGCACTGTAAGGATTCTTTCAGAGAGGCTATTTTGGAGTCATTTTGCCTCTTAGAAGCTTCTACATACCAGTGGAAGAATATCTTTCATTGTCTCTGAGAAGTTTGCGATTCTGTTTTGAAGGGCACCCTTAAAGTGGACTATCTCATCTAAGTTAAAATTTCCCCAAAGTGTCACTACAATTCCAAATTATCCTTTGTAAAGTTCACCCATTTTTCCAGAAAGGTACAAGATCCTGGTCCACAGAGGGTATACATATAAGAACCAGGAGTCTTTGAGGGAGAAGAATGAGATTTAAACCAGGCAGGACCTATCTCTGCCTTTAGATTCACTAAAACAGTCTATGTGGAGCTCAGTAATCCAACTGCTGCCTAAAATCCAGGGAATAACAGTTTCTCCCCTTACAGACAGAAGGGTGACTTACCAAGAAGCTTCAACAACCAGAAAACAGACGTGCACAACAAGGTCGGAGAGTTCAAAATGCAAAGAGAGCGGAGCTTGGGTTGACTGCAAGGTTGGGGAGAAAGCCGTGAGCTCAATGCACCCTGTGGATACCAGCATCTGGTTGCTCACTGGCCTCCGAGTTGTTGAGTCTTATTTGGATCCCACTTCTAATGTCAGAAAACTGTCAGAAATTCAGAAATAGCAAAATTAAATCCACCAAATCAATAAATAGAATTTAGTTAAGAGTTTATTATGCATATGAAAACAGTTTGTGAACTGGGAGCTTCCAAATTCAAAGACTGTTACAAAGCTCAGGGGCATGAAGTTATAGGATGGCTTATAAAGTGAAAGTGAGAAAGTTATTAATGTTTACGATTGGTTACTACAATGGGGGTTTCCAGATGGCAGGGGACTGATTACAAGTGATTATCTCAAACCATCTTTAGGAAGATGACTCAAGTTGTTTTTTTTTTATGATTGTCAGCGGCATTTATAAGAAATAACCTAGGTTAAGTTCCACTTATGTTTATGAAATAAGCTAGATTTAGCTTTGCTTACTGTGTTAAATCGTTTTGTCTGCACAGGGTATTCTCAAGTCCAGTCTCCATTTTGTATTTAATTTTAACCACACACACACACACACACACACACACTCGCTCACACACACATAAACTGAGAGCAATCTGCTCTAATTTTCTGGAATAAATGTGTCAGGCCAAACCTGCCAGAGCTTGGGTTCGCTATTAAAGGGCACATCACATTCAGGGCCCCTCAAGGTACTGAAGCCTAGTGTTGGGTACCTAGAGAAATGGTGTCACTCAGGGGAAGCCCAAATTGAATACTTTAGTGATTGGAGCTGCTCAGTTTCTAACTGAAAATCTGTGGTTTCCAGTCTGGGACTATAAGGGTTGAGAAATACTCTGGGTGGTAGGTGAGGGAGGGAGTGGGAGGGAGTCAGAGAGGGGTTTATTACTGATGGGGTGTATCTGGAAGACTCAGAATTCTGCTGAATCATTCCTGGACCAAAAGCCCCACAGAAACCAAGCTGCTTTTGGCACTGCCTCCCTAAGCCTGCAGCAGACCTGCAGACTCTCCACATTCCAGCCCCACCAGCCCACACGGCAGAGAACTAACGTCAGCCGGTTCAGTCTCCACCAGTTCTTGGGTTTCTCCTCCCCATTGCTGGCGTCACCACCAGAGCGTCTCCTCCACACGTGCCTCCCCACTTCCTCCTTTGTCACCACAGACACGCATGGAGATTCAATGACATTTGAGAGACTAAAAATACAGAGATGAATAAGGCACAGTCCCGGACTAGGAGGAGCAAACAGCCTAAGAGAGAGAGGAAATGGAAACAAACCAATATAATATAATGACATTAACTCTAATTGAGGAACATGCAAAGTACTCTTGATACAGCAAGAGTGAATTATTCCTGGACAATGTGATCTGGATAGTATTTTCCATACCCACCATATTAGTTTCCTCTGCTGCTGTAACAAATTACCACAAACTTAGCAGGTGAAAAGAACACACATTTATTATCCTACAGTTCTGGATGTCAGACATCTGACACAGATCTCCCTGGGCTAAAATCAAGGTGTTAGCGGAGCGTTTTTCTTTCCTGGAGGCTCTAGAAGAGAATTCATTTCCTTGCTCATTCTAGCTTCCACAGGCCACCTGCACCCTTTGGCACCCCTTCTACCTTTTTTGAAGCCAGCCACGCTGCATCTCTCTGTGCCTTTCTTCCATAGTCACATCTTCCTGTGACACTCTGACCCTCTCTCTTCCTCTTTTAACGACCCTTGTGATTACAATGGGTCCGCCGGGATAACCCAGGTAATGTCCCTATCATACGGTCAGCTGATTAGCAGTCTTAATTCCCCTTTGCCATGTAACCTAAAATATTGACAGATTCCTAGGATTAGGATGGGACATTTTTTAGAAGCCTTTATTCTGCCTGTCACATCCACCAAAAAAATTCTATAAACATAAATATATATAAATACACACACCATCCCCCAACCTGAGTTCCATACACCTTCGTCCCTGCTCCATTGTGTAGCAGCAGTCATACCTCCCTCTGATTAAGGGCAATTACCCCTGCCAAGATGGTGACTCCTTGGCCACAGGAGTCCAAAGCCCTGGCAGCGGTTATACCTATAGTTCAATGGGACCCTTGCTGTCCAGTGGGAAGAGTGTGATCCTCTGTGGAACAGAACCTTGAACTCTGCAGAGCCCAGAGTTGCAGGTCTAGGAAACATAAAGTTCCGCAAGGGGTCATTAGGGGTGATGGTAATTGGGACCATGCCTACTTCTACCCTTTGGTACTCAGACTCATCTATTTTTCCTATTGGAGGCACAGTGCCATTTAGAGGTCTCTGATTCAGTGCCTGTGGTAGGCAGAATCCTAAGATGACTTCCTTGATTCCCACTCCCTGGTATCTATGTTCCTTTTCTTCGGCATGGGCAGGACCTGTGAATCTGATGGCTGTCACTCACATAATTGAGTTATGGCATGTGACAAACATGAAGGCATTTTGCAGATGTAATTAAGGCCCCTTGTCAGTTTGATTTTCAGTTAATCAAAGGAAACAATACCCTGGGTGGACCTGATCTAATCAGGTTAGCTCTTAAAAGAGAGATCGGGCTGTCCTTGGAGATAGAGATAGATTCTCCTGCTGGCCTTGAAGAAGCTAGCCGCCGTGAGTTCTACAGCAGCAAGAAAATGAATTTTGCCAACAACCACTTGAGCTCAGAAGAGGACCCAGAGCCTCAGATGAGACCCCAGCCCTGGCTGACACCTTGATTGCAGCCTTGTGACATCCTATACAGAAGCCCCAGCTAAGCCATACCCAGACTTGTGACCACAGAAACTAATATAGTAATAAGTAATAAAAATGTGTTGTTTAGCCTGCTAAGTTTGTGGTAATATGCTACCCAGCAATAGAATATTGTATCTTTGCTTTTTATACCTAAATTATCCTCAGGCATATAACCCTATGACTGATCTCATCCGAAGTCAGTCAAATCTGGTTTTAATTCTCCACTTCCCTTTCTCTTCTCTTTTGATTCTTCACTTTCTCTTTCTGACCCTATCCCACAAGGAGTCTGCTTCCTCCCTCATCCATCTTATCTCAGCCTCTTTTCAGAATCGCCTGCAAACCAGTTCTGGGGGTGGGTTTTTTTTTTAATTTTTTAAAAAATTTTTAGTGGGGAGGTAATTAGGTTTACTTATTTAGTTTTAGAGGAAGTGCTGGGGATTGAACCCAGGACCTTGTGTATACTAAACATGCACTCTACCACTTTAGCTATACCCTCCTGGGTTTTTATTTGACCAAGAGTCTCTAACATCTGAGTTAGAGAAAGTAAAAGTAATGAATATGAAGAATTTTTCTGATGAATTCCATCTTAAATTGTTTAAAAATTATCAATAGGGAAAATATATCAATTTAATTTAATACATTTATTGAGTACCTACTATATGCCAGGTGTTTTGCTGGGTGCCGAGGCTGCAAAGATCAAACAGACAGATTTCCTGACCTCATGGAATCCATCACCCAGAGAGAAAACACAAAGATGTGATCAAATGCACTGTGATAACTGCTCCAATGAATAATGTGCCATAAGATCTCAGAGGAAGCAATATAAATGATGCATTCTGCTGGATGGAGTGTTGGAGGAGTCATGGTGAGGAGACAGGGTAGTGGCCTGTAAAGCCACAGAGAGGAGGTGACACTTGAGAGAGTTCTTCCCTTAGCGAAAAAGACACTAAATTACCCAAATTGAATTTTCCAGTTTCATAACTGAACTTTTTATAAAGAGGCTAAGAACAGTTTCTAAACAACTAAACAGGAACATGTTTGTCCTTTTGTCTCACATTATCATACATACCTGGCTAATTAAAGTACATCACTTTAATTAAAGGTACCCATGGAAGGTAGCCAGGTATCAATGTATCAGCGTACCAACAGCCCGGTGCTCATTTCCCAGCAATAGAGTTCCCTAAGTGACCTAGCAGTGTCACCATCACTACCCACCCAGATGAAACTTACGCTGGAGGCAACTAGGGCTGTGTCCTCAGCGGAAGTGAGTTGCATAAGCAAGACATCCCTTTTGCTGCATTCTCAGAGGACACAGTTCCATGCTCTGGGAGAAGTAACGTGCCTCTCTCAGGATAGTTCTGAGCTGAGCACCAGATCCCTGAGGGAGAGTCATTGCTTGCTAACATGAACTTTGCCCCTAGGTAGCCAAACCTCCAAACCATCTCCTCCATATGCCATGTTTGTTCAAGTCAAGTACACCTATCAAGGGCCTACTCTATGAGAAAAATTCTGCTTGATGTTGGAGTCACAAGACTGAAAATGACAGTCACTGCCGCAGAGTGGTTCATGTGTGGCTTCCTGACTCATTTCACAGACAAGGAAATAGGCTCTGAACTTTTCTGGTTTCTTTTTCTGGTTTGTTTGTACTGTACTTCCTTCACTGAGTACCTTTCCCCCTTCCTGGATTCACAGAGCCTAAATGAAGTCCTACTTCTTCTAAGAGGATTTCCTGACTCTCATCATCATTAACTTTTACTTTCTCTAAGTTTCTATTTCACTAAGTCTGGATTTGACAATTTAGCACTTAATTATAATTTGCTTTGTATTATTTCTTTAATTTTTTGAAGTGTCCATCGTGGTACTCCAATAATATTGTAAGCTTCTTGAAGGCAGGAGCCATCTTTTAAATTGAGTCTGGGCACATAGTTAATTCTCAACATCTAGTTAAGATTTAATGGATTGGGTGATGGAAACCAGCTCTTGAGCAGTAATGGAAGGAGAGGAATGGTAAGCAATGCTCCCACCTTCAAAGGCTGGTTTGGTCCTAATCCAGCCTTCAAAAACCAGCTGGAATGGGTTTAAAGAACCTTCCCTAAGAGCATAACATAAAAACAAAAGGATCCACATTAGACATCAAATTCACAGTCCGTCCAATTAAAGACTGGGTCCACTGCAGTAAAAAAAAAAAAAAGAAAAAAGGATGATTCATTGCATGGGAGAACAATGTAAATAGCAACTTCAAAAGGTAGCCTCCCCAGCATCCGAAATTTAATTCAATCAGTCTATTATCCATGCATTAATCTAAGCCCTTCGAGATGTTTTTAAATTCAAAATAACTTTTACTTATTGCCATAAAGGATTGTTTTTTCCTCCCTGTCCCGTTCCTATTCCTGGGATCTGGCACCACCTACAAAAGCTTAATTAACAGAAGTGGGCATTTAATAGGGAAAGAGACAGCAACTCTTTGTAGCATTATATAATGCGTGAATGTTGGCAGTGGGAAAGGTCTGACTTGTTTTTTGTAGCTTATTATTTGAGGGAGGACCATGGTAAGTAAAGGCTTCTTTCTTTTCTTCCCTCTTTTACCTACTTGCAGGTTTCAAGCCCAAGGAAATTCTCCATCCTTTTCTACCCCGTGGTCTGTCTCATCCAGAAGGAACTGGATGACTGATGCCCTGCTGAAGGCTAAAGAACAAAAGAAGTTTGAAGGGCTGAGATTTCCCTGTGGACTGAGGAAAGACGAGTCTACTACTTCCTTCTGGTGTCTCCTGGAAAGGCTGGAGTGGATGTCTTGGTCTGTGCTGCTTTGTGTCTATATTCTTTTCTCTTGTTATAGCAGAGTTGTTCTCCTAGTACTTCAGTGGAACTTTCCCCCTTGTTTACTAGGTTCTGGGAAAGGAAAGGGAAAAGGAAAGGTGTAACAGAAGAAGAAAAGAACACCATGTTGAAACCACCTCTCTCATTGTTTGGCTTATGTATTCTATTACTTTAACCCTTGGCACAAAGAGTTAAATATTAGAGAAATGGTCCTTGTGCCCAAATAGCTCATTAAGTTCCCTGAAGAAAGTCCCCATCCCACAGTCCTGGGTTAGTTATGGCTACTACCTGTTGTAGATAACTTTGCTTTCAGCCTAGAAACCTTGCTAATAAGCAGAGATAAGAATGGTAAAGTAAAAATAACCGCTAACAACTTGAAGTTTTTGCAGGAGCTTTGTAATCTAGCCTACATGAGCAAACAGAAGAACGAAGAAATGTTATGCTTCCCTTGAAGGCCAGATGTCTCCAAGAAGTCTGCACTCCACTTTTACCCTTTAATCTTGAGCCCTCCCCTCCCACTTCCCCTTTTCCCTTAGCATAAAAGAAGCCTGAATTCTATTCTGAGTGAAGATGGTTCTTTAGGACATTAGTCCGCTATCTTCTGGGTTTGCTAGCTTTCCGAAGAAAGTTGCTTTTCCTTGCCCCAACGTCTTGTCTGCTGTGGCTCCTACACCTGGCATTCGTGCCTGATACCTTGTAATTGTATAATAAAATGGATTGGCAAAATGACTAAAGAGCAGTATGATAGCCACACCAAGTTTTGAGTACTTATTTCAGTGCCTAAAATGTTGAAAATGTATAATCAATATTTGTTGAACAAAGAGAGAATAGTAGTAGGGATAATATTAATTATTAAGCCCTTATTGCTCAATTATCTTCTTTAATCCTCACAACAACCATAGGAGATCAGTATTCATATTATTCCCATTTTATAGATAAGGAAAATCAGGGTTTGGAGGCATTAAGTAACTTCCCCCAAATCAAAAAGGCTAGCAAGGATTTCCCAACTATTACCAGACCCGCAGTGAGTGGTGTCCTGCAGCAGAGGGCATAGTCTTATACCCCAGACTTGCCCTGAAAACTGATGCAGGTCCATCTAGGGAAGTAGACTCATGCTCCCAACCATGTATAATTAGCAATTGCTGTGGGAATCAGAGGATTCTGCAGAGTCAGAGAAACCAAACTGGGCATGAGAAGTCATCTAGAAAACTAGATGATCACGAGGCCTCAAATCGTAATCCTCAAGTTCCCCTGTCATGTACATATTCAGCATTTTCCAGGCCTTCAGCCAATATTTCTCCTTTTCTGGTTTCTTTCCTCATGCGGACAAATGTATTCTACAGTTAATTTTTACTTTATTATAAACTAATGACACGTGATTCTAACTTAATCAATGGGTTATCATCAAATGGCTCCTTAACATACTGTAAACAAAATGTTTTGAAATTTGTCATTTCAGAACCCTATCTCTGAATGTCAATTTTCCTAATCTAGGATTCTTTTCTATCTCAAGCCAGGGAATAAGGAAACTTCCTTTCTACTTCTTGCCACTGTGTTTTCACAAAAATAGATGCAGAACTTACTACTATTTCATTTGATCCTTTCAGGTGGATCTGAGTCTGCCTCATTTATTGGCTAGATCCTTACATACATATCATCCTTATCCCACCTTTAGTCCTGTCCACCATGGGAGCAGTAAGTGATAAGGGGACAGTAACAAGCATGAAATTCAAAACCAGATGCAAGCTGACACTGGGGCTACAGGGCCCTTATTTTCTGCAACTGGGGTGGACCATTCCTGCTGGCCTGTTCTTAGTATGATACTAAGATAATGATATAGTAAGGTCAAAAGTCAAGATTAGTAGAAAAGACATATCAGGTAAATACTTAAAAAAATAAAGGTGTGTTAGCTGTGTATATTTCATCAGAAAATTAAATTTAAAAACACTATAAAGATAAAGAGGCACAAACATGAGAATAGGAAAAATTCACCATGAAAATATAAAAATTCTAAACTTGCACCAAATAACATAGTCTTAGTTCAGAATGGATTGATAAATTTGACTGCTTTAAATTGAAAAACTTGCATATGACCAAAGACACTATTAACAACAACAACAAAAATCCTAGCCACAGATGTGGTACATGTCTGCAACAATAATAAAAAAGAGGGATGTGGAACTGGAATAATAAATTATATAAAAGGGTTACTACAAATGAGTAAGAAAAGATAAACCAACCAAAAGTGGATAAAGGTCATGAAGTGGCAATTCAAGTAGAAGAAACAATATATGGCCAATAAACATACTGTTGAAAACATCAATATCACATTAATCAAATTCAAAGCACAATAAAATATCATTTCATACCCATCAGATAAGCAAAAACCAAGAAGTGAAATTACCAACTGTTGGTAAGGATAGAGAGCACTGAGAATTCTCATTCACTGCTAGGAGAAGTTGTGAATTGGCAGAATCACTTTGGAGAAAAATTTGGCTCTGTTTCGTAAAGTTGAACCTGCATGTATCCTTTGGCCCAGCATTCCAGTTCTAGGCAAATACCCTATAAATTACTGTTCCTGTACTCAAGGATATATACAAGAATATTTCGTAATAGCATTGTTTGAAATGATGGGGGAAAAGGGAAACAATCTAAATGTTCATCAATAGGACATTTTTTAAAGCTTGAATCCTCTGAGGAGGAATTTGAATCCAATTAGTTCATAATACGTTGCACATATCACAGTTTTAAGGTCAGTACTCCTTTTTTGATAGATTTAAAAGCTTATCATTTAATATTTATTTCTTGTATCCCTTTCACACATATGAGTAAGTCTAAACATTCCAAATAGGAGAAACATGCACTATTGGGGTATTAATTGGAGAAAGCTGTGAGCCTCTCTGTCTGCCACAATTGCTCACAGGGTTGAAACACCTTGTTGAATTTACCATGGTTCAGGTACTGGCCCACAGATATGCAAGTCAGGAACTTGATTTGTCACTTCACTAGAGGTGACTCTGTGTCCTTAGGAAGACTCACATCAACCAAGAGACTGATAAATGAAATAAGAATTTCAAATTCTTAGCTCATAATGAAATGTGGGACTGCCTAGTGACCATGAGAAATCCAGAAATAATCAGAAAATTTACTGATGATCATGGAATCGGTTGCATTTAGCTAGGACACATTGATTAGAAAGTAAGCGCCATGAGGGCAAAAATTTTTGTCTGATTTTTCCATGACTAAAATTCCAGAGACTATAACAACACCTAACTCAATAAAAATCTGTGAAATGAATGAATGAATAAGGAGAGACTGACGTATTCATTTCTATAATGTGCAAAGACCCATCTCATGATTCAACTTGGAGTTCTTGCATCAGGGTATTCTTGTTCCAGCACAGTGCCAGAGCGAATGGTGCCACTTTTGGTCTCTGAGATTCTTTTCCTATGCATCCATGACTGCTCCTAGTAGACACCTTCAGTTGCCTACCCTATAGGCATTCCCTTCTAATTCCTTGCTAACAGAATCCCAATTTTGTTCTGGGCAGCAATGTGCCCAACCTCAAAGAAAGAAGCACAATTTGTCTTGGCCAAACATATCATCTCTGTTCCCCTTTGCCAAATACTCACTGTCCCAGCCTCCCTTGCTGCCACATTACCCAGTACTGTCCTATAAGACATAAAGGGAAGACATCTGGGGTATTCTGGGAAAGATTTGCTTCCCAGATAAAAAGACAGAGCCTCAGTAGGAGAAAGATGTTTGCCCACAACCTTTCCTCCCCTGCTTAGGATGCTGATGTGAGGACATGATGCTTGGAGCTATCGCAGCCCTTTTACGTTCATGAGACGAGTTGAGGATGACTGGCAGAGTGGAAGGGTTTTAAAAGCCCAGGTCCTTGATAACATGATTAATGGCTGAACTAGCCCTGGAACTGAGTACTTCCAGGTTTCTAATTGAGTTTCTTTTAAGTTTTTATGGTTTATGCTACTATAAGTAGGTTATTCTGTTAGCTGTAGTCAAAAGCATTCCTAACTGATACAATGATCAAGTTTATTATAAGATATATCTTCTCTATTTAGTTATCTTAATACATTCAATCAGTTTATAGCCAAATATTAACTGGCCTGGGATGGATACAGTTTGAATATCTCAGCTTGGTTTTAAGTTTCACTTTCAGAGGCTATCCTAATTCACTCATTTCTAATGCCACACTCAAGTCATGCAACCATCATAAAGGTGAGAGCACTGAGTACCTCAGGTCTCCTTTCTCAACACTCATTTGCCTGATCTGTTACTTCTTTAGAATCTAAGTTGTGCATTTCTGAACCAAAATTATCTCTTTTATCATGATAAACAGAACTGACTTCAATGCTGAATGAATTAGAATATAACTGATGTTATCATCAACAAAAACTATTTAATTCCATTTGTGAGAGTCTGGATATCATGCTTACTTACTAATTCTTCAGCTCATTCCAATTTTGAGAGGTAAATATAAGATGTTTGGGGAGTTTCCATTGGTGATTTCTTACCTGATAGGCATATCAGAAACAACAGTAGTCCTACACTTCTGCTTGTCCCACCTGTTCTTTATTCCTTTTTGTTGTTGTTGTTCTTTATTCCTTTTCCCCTCCTTTCCTATCTTCCCTTGGACTATTTTTTATGAAACCATTTTATCTCCTCTATTGACTTATTGGCTGTACCTTTAAATTTTAGTGATTGCTCTAGGCTTTACAATATGCATCTTTAACTTCTCACAGTCTACCTTTAAATGTTATAACATTTAACATATAATGAAGGAATCTTGTAACAATATACTTCCATCCCATCTCCCCCATTCTTTGTGCTCATACATTCTATTTCTACAAATGTTATCAATCCCATAAAATACTGTTGTCATTCTTACTTTAAGCAGTTAATTATCTTTTAAAGACATTAAAAACAAGAAAAATGTTTTTCATATTACCCACAGACTTACCATTTCTGGTACTCTTCATTCCTTTGCATAGATTCTTATGTATATCTGATATCATCTTCCTTCATCCTGAAGAACTTCCTTTAGCATTTCTGTGGTACAAGTTCACTAGCAATGAATGCTCTTGGCTTCAGCATATCTGAAATGTTTTCATTTTGCCTTCATCTTTGAAGGACATTTTCAATGGATTCTGGGTTGACAGTGTTTTTCTTCCAATGCTTTAAAGATGTTCCACCATCTTCTGGTTTGCATTGGTTTTGATGAAGAACCGGTGATGAATATCAACTTTAAGATTTTTTCTGTATCAATAGTTTTGAGAAATTTGATTCTGCAGTGGCTTGATGTGGTTCTCTTTGTGTTTATGCTGCTTGGCATTCGCTGAGATTCTTGGATATGTTTGTAGTTTTCAACAAATTTGGAACATTCTGAAAGTTGAGTAGGAGAATTATAAAATTGTAAATTGTGTTACATTGTTATATATTACTGAAGGTAAATGAAGAGTGCTTAACCACTATTTACAGATCTTCAGTAGCTTTTTGTTTTTACCATGGCTTCAGACTAGGTACTGAAAGAAAGTTTGGGACATTGTTCTATCCACTGTCCTGCCCAGATTCTAAGCACTATATACCTGCATAATTTCCCTCTAGTTGGTATAATGGTCAAATACCAGTAAAAGAGAGAAGGGAGAAAAAGTTGTGTGAATTAATATGTTCTGCATAATGCCTTTTCAACATGTTCTCCTATTTTCACTAAGCCTGCTTCTTCAAAAAAGTCTCCACAAGTAGTTTACAGTTGGAATGTTAATTAGGTCACAGATGAGGTCCATTTCTAAAGGGAGACAGGATTGTAAATAATTTATCCTAGATGATGTGCTCTGGATTGGATTGTCCACATGATGTCTGGCTCGGCAGATAAAAAACTCCAGGCAGAGTGCAATAGGGATTACAATACTGATTACCCAGCCTCTGTGATGATTCCTGATTCTATGATACTGGAGCAGGCCTCTTAGGTTGGCAAACATTAACAGAATCATCGCACATTTATTATTCATGAGAGAGGTAAAGCTTTGTGACAAAGGTCAATGAATAAGCGAATGATTCTGTGTAAGGGCAGGAAGAAAACAGGTTTAGGGACAAATCCTTCTCTCTCCCCATTGGACCATTAACAATTATCCTTCCTAATCCAAAAACTCTTATAATCTTTATTTCACAAGAAGACAGAAAGGAATAAACATTTAGAGGGCTTATACTATATTCTAGGCACTTTACAAAGGACTTTACAACAGTATTTAATATTCACAACCCTAGGAGAAGGTTAACTCTATTTGACATATAAGCACACTGAGATGCAAGAACCTTGTCCAAAATCACACAGCTGGTAACTCACAGTGCTGGCTTTGCATCTAGGCCTGCCTGGCCTCGAAAGTCCCTGCTTTTTCTGCCACAGAAGTGCACTCAGCTCCACCCTCCAAAAAGTATTTCCTGAGTCAATTACCCTTTGGCTTCAAGCCAACAGGCTGGCATTCTCTAAGTCACTTGCTTGAATGGGAAAACCCAATCTTCTTGCCAGATGATAAGTGTGCATTCTACCTATGAGGGAAGAATATAAATGAAGAACTGTGGACCACTTTCAAAGTAGTGGGACAGTGCTCATTTCAGAAAGAAGGATGGTATGGTGATGCCCCAGGTTCACTGACTTGATGTTCATAGAGGACTCCTCCATGAGCAGAGAGTCCTTACAGCCTCTGGAATCCTCCTTCTGTGAAGGAGTCTGGATGGAGGCAGCTTCCTGCAGCCTCCTAGGGTGTGGGGGATCTCCTAGGAAGCTAATTGTTTATAGTTGTCTCAGTAGGCATTCCTGATCCCTATTGCAGAGTCCTACTTATGGGTCCCGTTCTTGGGATGGGGGTCTGGGGTGCAAGGCAGAGAAAAAAGGCTTAGGAAGAGGAAGAAATTGGGGAGACTGGAACTGTCAAGAGCAAGCATTCTTTTCTGTAATAAAACAAGGCATACACTAGTGAAACTTAATTTGTGAGATGTGGACCAAATGTGTTGAATATTTACAGATTTTTACCTGAGCTCCAGCCTTAGGATAGTATTTGATACAATGTCTGTTTTTTAATTTTCCTTTTTGGCCAGAAGATCTATGAGGACTATAATTACACAGTGGTGTAGTAAAAGATGTCTTGACTAATGGTCAGGAGACCCCAGCTGTATTCTGACTCTGCCACTTTCAGCTGTGTGACTTTGGACAAGTACTTTACCCTCTCTGGGCTTCAGTTTTCTTAGTTATTAAATAAGGAATTTGGACTAGAGAATCGCTAATATTCTATGCTTCTATGATGACAGACATCTCAACAATAGAGGTTGGAGGGCTTTAAAGACAGAAAAAAACCCTGTTCTTCCAAATTATATTCATCCAGGCCAATTTTATTTAAATTGCTGATTTTATTTCCAGTGTTCCCTGGAAGCTCTGGAATGGAAATGTATAATTAACCTTTTTTTTTTTAGTATAACAACAAATATCTTTTTAATTCAACAGAATTTCGGTAACAAAGCAGGATATATGTTAAAAATAAGTAATAATACAAGAAAATTAAGACTAAATGAAATCACATCTGTAAAATGCCAAGCAAGACATACCACTCATAGTAGGCGCTAAGAAATGTTACTGCACATCTATCTCATTTCTTCCTCTCCTATAGCACCCTCCTATAATTAATCTTTTAAGGAGACTTAAAATGTATTACAGTTCTCCCAACTCTATGGCCCTGGGTCACCTTTTGATCTTCTTGCACGCTTCTCCTTCTATCATCACCCTAAAAGGCATGACTCATTCCCACATCCTCTGCCTCCTGAATGAGTTCTCAGGTAATAAACTCTGTTGTCTCCAGCAGAATATGCCCAACATCCACTCATAGCAGGGCCGGAACGTGGGTCTGTTCCTTGTTCCTCAGGACAAACATTGGCTGCTTATTTGGGTGGAGTTCATTCCCTTGCATTTCCTTCTTTGAAGTATCCTCTATTTTCCCAAATTCACTGTTAACATTTAATTGCCAGTTTATGAATGGTACAAGGATTGGTAAACTGGATTCTGAACTTTAAAATCTATTGCGTGTACCCAGGAGGCATAGGGAAAAGAGGGGGTGTCTTACACTTTGTGCACTAACAGGCAATTATTTCCTATGATCTTATTGAGTAACTGCCATGCCCAGATTCAAAGGGCTGATACTTCAGGAGGTCTCAGGATGGCTAACTGCCCTTTTCAGATTTCCCAATCATTTATGAGGAGTTAGAGCCTTGATCTCTGAGCTGAGTGATGGGCAGGAGTGTTCCCTTTGCACATGACTTCACAAGGGGAGAGAGGGAGGGCTGCCTGGAGGAGGTAGGTCACCCTGAAGGGATGACAAATTGTGTATCTGCCCCTCAGATTTGATTGTTCCTGTCCTTTTTCTCCAGAAGGCTAGATCCCTTCCAACCATAACTAGAACAATAAGGGCCTGTAATGTTTAACTGTTAAGTCTCTGGAGGGCGCAAACTATGCCATATTTATTTCAGCACTCCTCAAGTACAGTGCTTGGGAGGAAAACAGACCTTAACGAATGTTTGTTAAATGCTGAACAAGAAGCAGGTTATTATTGCCCTTTAAATGCAGACAGACTCCAAAGTGGCCCCATGATCCTGCCTCCTGGTGTTTACACCTTTGTGTCAAGATCTGTGACTCCCTTTTAACTAAGAGAATATTGTGAGCGTGATAAGATATCACTCCGATGATTATGTTATATTATGTAAAACTCTCTCTTGCCAGGCAACAAAAGCAAAAAATAACAAATGGGAATGCGCCTGCACATCAGAGGAAACAATCAACAGAGTGAAAAAGGCAACCTATTGAATGGGAGAGACTATTTGCAAACCACATATCAGTTAAGAAGTTAATATCCAAAGTATAGAAAAGAACTCCTACAGGTCAACAACAACAACAACAAAACAAATAACCTGATTTTTAAATGGGCAAAGGACTTGAATATATATTTTTTCAAAAAAAAAAGGCCAACAAGCACATGAAAAAATGCTCAATATCACTAATAATCAGAGAAATGCAAATCAAAATCACAATGAAGTATCACCTCACACTTGTTAGTATGACCACTATCAAAAAAAAACAACTAGAAAATAACAAGTGCAAGTACAGATGTGGAGAAAAAAGAACCCTTGTGCACTGTTGGTGGGAATGTAAAATGGGGCAGACTCAATGGAAAACAGTATGGAGGTTCCTCAAAAAATTAAATATAGAACTATCATATGACCCAGAAATCTCATGTCTGGGTACATACCCAAAAGAATTAAAAACAGGATCTTGAAGAGAGATTTGCACACCTATATTCATTACACCATTATTCACCATAGTCAAGAGGTATAAGAAACCTAAATGTCCATCAATGGATGAATAGATAAAGAAATCTGGTATACACATAAAATGGAATATTATTCAGCCTTGAAAGAGAAGGAAATTTTTTCACAGGCTACAGTATGGATAAATCTTGAGGACATTATGCTAAGTGAAATAAGTCAGTCACAAAATGATACCATATGATTCCACTTATATGAGGTATCTAAAGTAGTCCAACTCCTAGAGACAGAAATTAGAATGGTGGTTACCAGAGGGCTGGGGGAAGGGGAAAGGGAGTTGTTCCATGGGCACAGAGTTTCAGTTTTACAAGATGAAAAAGTTCCAGAGATCTGTTATACAACAATATGCGTATAGCTAACACTACTGTACTGTACACGTCAAAATGGCTAAGATCGTAAATTTTATGTTATGTCGTTTTCTTTTTTTTTTTTTTTTCAGAAAAAAAAAATGACTCTATCTTGCTAGCAGACTATTCCAGACACTCTCCTTGCTGGCCTGATGAAGTAAACAGCCATAATGGGTAAGCCCACATGACAAGAAACTGCAGGCAGCTTCCAGAAACCATGGGCGGCCGCAACCAACAGTCATTAAGAAGCCAAGGCTTTCAGTCAAGGAAATAAATTCTGCCAATGCTAACAACTTGAGCTTGCAAGTGGATTCTTCCTTGGCCACACCTCCACACGAGAATGCAGCCTGGCTGACACCTTGAGTAAAAGACCCAACTAAGCCATGTCTGAACTCCCGAACCACAGAAACTGTAATAATAAATGCATGTAATTTAAGCCACTAAGTTTGTGGTAATTTGTTTTGTGGCAATAGATAACTAATACAAAAGGGGTGATATGATACAATTGGCTTTGAAATAACTACCTTTCTGTTATAGAATCTTGAGATAGAAAGTGTTCGTGGTAGACAGCAAAGGCTCTTGGACCAACAAGACCACACTTAGCCTTGGAATATATCCATGTCTTTGCTTAAAAGTCACTCAGCCTCTATGCCTGGTTTCCAGAGGGCAATCTCTGTGGACTTAGTACAACTGCCAATGTTCTAACCTCCTCACAAGGGGCACTAGACAGGAAGAAAGGAGGCATGGTCACATCTCTTAAACTTCAACCAAAGGTCTCAGTGGTCCCTCCGCCACAATTTTTTATGATCCTCAGCAAGAGCCCCCATGGAGTGCAAGAGTAACAGCCTGGGATGGATTCAGGCTAGGGTAGCAAATAGATTTCATCTTCTAAATAGACAGGGGTGGCTTGAGATGACTCCTGACAACAGAAGAATGTCTCTGCTCCAGTCTACCAATACAGCTTTTCACTCTTTAGTTTGCTATAAACATTCTTTGTGGTAAGGGTCAGAAATGAGCACAGCTGGGCACATGCCTGGGAATTAAAATATGATCACTCTTATTTCGGCATTTACCACCCCCAATCTCTATCCCTGGCTAGGAAGCTTCTTATCCCCACTTCTTTCTGTGGCAAGTGGAAGGGGGACTTTATGACCATTTGGCTCCCTCTTTTCTCACAGGTATGTGTAATGGTGGTGGTTTGGGGAGAGGGGAAGGTGAGAAGGTCAAAAGCAGGCAACAGTGGTAGTTGGGAGGATACAGGCCATCTCTGCTGCAGCTGTGCAGAACCAGAAACCCAAAGGTGGTTAGTCTTTTCTGGCAGGTCAAAGTCACTGTCTCAGACTTCCACAACTTCCCAGATGGAACAGCAGAAAGGAAAGGACTTTCTTCATGTCAATGAGAAAAAATTCTGATTGTCATGGCTTGGGTCACAATATTGACCAAAGGAGTGCCAGGTTCTGACTGACAGCCCCCTGACTACGGATAACTACCTAGTTGGATATAGAGGGAAAATAATTTTTCAAAAGCAGAAAATGCTGTTCTGGGAAACAAATAGCTATCCAGTACAATCCATGATCTTTTCTCTCTCTCAACATATATTTCAGATGTACCACAAGGTCCTGGTTCCTGTCATACCTGTGCTTCCTGCAGTGAGCAGTGAATTCCCCTCTTGCCTAAGCAGGATAGAATTGGGTACCACCACTTGCAAACAAGAGACCTGATTAATACTTTACGTATTGCTTACTGGCCTCTTTTAATTGCAGCCTCAAATCTTGTAATATTTTACATTTAGAAGTCTTACATTTTTGATGGTCCACCCCTAATGATGAAACAGCTTTCCATGCCTTAAATTACAATTTCTCAAAAAGAAAGGAAAGGAAAAGGAAAGAGAAGGGAAGAGAAAAGAAGAGGAGAGGGCTGGTTGTATTTATTTATTGATCATTCTCACAGGCTATCACTCACATGTGGCAAGAAAACCACTCCCTGAGAAAGACCCAACCTCTAGTCCATCCCAAGGATTACAACCTGTGGAACACAGATGTTATCACATGTTATCAAAACTTAGATAATTCAAGCTAGAGCAAGCACATCTGGAGACTCATCTCAAATTACACTTTCATGTAGTGAGGCCCAGGGTGTTTCTCTGGCTCCAGATCAACAAAATTATATCTCTGCTCATCTAGTAATTTTACTTCTAGGAATCTAAGGAAACAATTAGAAACCTGGGTAAAAACTTGGGGAGAAAGATGTTCTTCAAAGCATTATGTATCATTGAAAAAAATCCTGAATCTTCAACAACAGAATAAATTGCACAAGTGGAACTCAAAGGAGCCATTATATATATATGTATATATATATATTTTTAATTTAGATATACTTAGCAACATGGGAAAATATGCTATTAATAATAATAATGTTAACGATTATGCCAGGGGCCATGCTGGGTACTTAATTTACATTACTTCATATGAAGGATACTATTATTATTTACTCATTACAGATGAAGAAATGGTGACTTTTTAATTGAAGTATAGTCAGTTTACAATGCTGTGTCAATATCTGGTGTACAGCATAATGTCTCAGTCATACATGTATTTGTTTTCAGCCTTTTTCATTGTAGGTTACCACAAGATACTGAATACAGTTCCCTGTGCTATACATAAGAAACTTGTCATTTATAAGAAACGGTGACTTAACAAGGTTAACTGACAGTCACACAGACGGGGAGTATCTAAGTCCAAAGCTGCCACTACACTATTCTGCAGGATAGGCATTATAGATACACGAAACCTATTTGTTGTTATGACACACATATACCCCACATGGGTGATTTTTTAAATACTTTTAAATGGGTACAGCAAAGCACAGACCAGTCAGAATGGACACCACAACCAATCAGAATGGAAGTCAGGTGTAAATAACCCAAATGGCCAACTAGTTTCAGTTAACCTTTGCTGTGTAACAAACAACCTTAAAATGTAACAGTTTAAAACCACCTTTCTATTGGGTCTCAACTCTATGGGTTGACAACATGGGCTGTGATCAGCTAGTCTCTTGTGTGCCTGCAGTCATCTGACAGCTCAATTGGGACTGAATGGTCCAAGATGGCCTCACTTACGCACCTGGCAGTTGGTGCTGGCTGTCAACTGGACTCCTGGAGGCTGGCTCAAGCTTCTTCATATGGCACAGCAGTGCTCCAAGAAGGCATAAGCAAAAGCTTTAAAATCTCTTGAGGTCTTGGTTGAAGTTGTACAGCAACACTTGCACTGTATTCTATTGGTCAAGGCAATGCACAAAGCTAGTCCAAATTCAAGGAGTAGAGAAATAGACTCTACCTCTTGGTGAGAAGAGCTGCAAGGAATTTGTGGACATTTTTAATCCACTGCACTGTATATACCAACTGAATATCAGCCCTATATGTATATGTACTTAGAAAAAAAGACAAAGGAAATCAAAGTACTTACAGGTATTAACTGTTTCATTTCTGCATTACTCCAATTTTCTTAATCAATATGCATTATTTTTACAGAAAAACAGAAAAAAAATGATGGCACCTTCCATAACAGTTTAATAGGGCAGGTTGGACAGCTTCACTTTGGCCAGAAATCAACAGAATTCCTTCTTTTCTAGCTCTGCCACTTCCTGGCCGTGGCAAATTCATAGCCCTCCGAGCCTCCGGTTTTCTCAGTTGTAAGATGGAGCTAACAAGAGCTATTTCACAAGACAGCTGATATTAAACGAGACAATGAATGTAAAACACCCACAATGCGCCTTGGCCATTTCCTTTCCTCCTACTCTCCCCCTACCCAGACCTCTTCCGTTATGGGAATTCTCCTTCTCACAAAGACTAAATTCTGTTATAGTAAATTACAAACACATCTCTAAAGTAAACTGTATGCCCTGGGGGCTGGTTTCAAAGCTTAGTCCTCCTTTATAACCCCAAGTACCTAGCACAATAGTTAGTAAATAGTTGTTGATGTATTGACTCATTAACCAAATTAAAGTTTCCAAATGCTAGGCAGTTAGTCCCTTTTAATGTGGTTTTAAATATAAACTCCAGCATCAAGAGGGGATAATGTTGGTTGTTTATGGCAAGTGCCTATTCCTGACAATGGAAAAGCCTAACTTGATTCACAGCCATGAAGAAAATTCATGTTTCTTACGGTTCTAAGTTTCTACACATGCACAATCACAATGAGCTTTCTTTTTTCAGTCACCTGTTTTTCAGAATAGGCTATCCGTGTCACAGTGGCAAAGTGAATTTAAATTGGAAAAACAGAATAAATAGAAACAAATGATAACGTGTTTCAATGAGTCAACCATTAGTCTCAAAAACCAAGCAGTTCACACTGAAAATGGCCTTGTTTTTGCCTCAAGGAGGCAGCTGTCATTAGTGCTTAGTCATGAAGCTCTAACTGACTGTTTAGCAGTGACTCTGTAACAAGCTCTCCTGGGTCCTCCCACAAGTTAGACCAAAGCAGGAGAGGGAAGGGCCTATGCATGGTCACCCATGTGTCATAGTGTCAGGAAAGACACTACCTGAAGTAGCTCAGGCAGATGAGAATCAAAGCTATTTTAAAAGATTTTTGAGAAAGACATTTCATAACTTCTCACGGTGACTCACGATGCATGAAATCCCCAGAGGGTGGGAAGGGTAACAGAGAAACTATTTTTGCTCTCTTTTCTACATACAGGATATTTCAAGCAAAAATAGAGAATTACTTGTTGAATGTTAGCGTGGGTCATTTGTTAACAGTCCAACCTACAAACTGAAAACACTGCAGGCCCCTTTTATGCTTTCTCTTTGACTCATCCTGGAACCCAGGCAGGGCAGCCAAAGCAGGGCCCTCGGAGGCTCTGTCTGGGAAGGTGGGCTGTAAAACAAAAACTACCTGCAAGAGGCTTGAATACTTCTTCCCTGGGTACATTCCAGGAATAGCTAGACTCGAATCCAACTGTTCTCAAACATTTTGCTCTCAGGAAACTGAAAAATTATTGAAGAATTCAAAAAGCTTGCCTTCGAAACTTCTAGAAAACATGAGAGCACACAAGCACACATTCGTTTAGTCACCACAGTGATGATGTCATCACATATCCTGGAAATTTGTAATTATTTCAAAACAAAAAGGAAAAAAGAGAAGCACAGTGGATGGAGCAAGTAGGGACCACAACAACTTTCAACAGCAATGGAAGCCGGAAGACAGGTTGTCACTGATATGCTGAAAGAAAAAACTTCCAACCTCAAATTCTCTGAGCAGCAAAACAAATCCTTCCAGAATTTTAAGATGAATTAGAGACATATTTGGAAAAGCAAAACAGAAAATTTTACAAAAGCTGACCTTCACCAAAGAGAAGTATTGAAGGAGGGTACCCCAGGCAGAAGAAAAGTGTTTTCACAAGGAAGGTCAGAGATTCAAGAAAGAATAAGAAGGAAGAAAGTAAGAAAGAAAACATTATGTTAACTCTAAAAATTACCAGTCGAAGGGGAAAAAATTATTGAGGAATCCAAATAGCTTACCTTAGGAAATTCTAGAAAAACACAAGAACATACAAGCACACATTCCTTTAGTCATGAGACTGATGACGTCATCAGACATCAAGTCTCCTCTGGAAAATTCCAGCGACAGTAAGAAAGGCAAATGACATCCTACTATTGCTATGAAACTGATTTTGACGGAGACTCTCAGAAAGGCTCTTGGGACCCACAGGGCCCCCCAGGCCACCCTATGAGAACCGCTACTCTAATCCCCTAATCCTCCCATCGCCCAAGGCCAGGTCTTCTACGTTTCCCTCCCTAGCCAGCCAAGGAAGAAACAGCAAAGTCACCGGTCCAAGACCAAAAGAGGAACCCCTCTCTTCCTTTTGCAAAGGTTACAAAGGGACGCGTAGTTTCCGAGGTCGGGCTTTCGGGAAGGCTCCGCCAGGCTCCGCTAGAGGGCGCCGCTAGAAAGCCCCGCCGCGTGCCTCGCCGCCCGTGCCCCCGCCCGCGCGGGCAGGGCTCACACCCGCGCCCGGAAGAGAGGGAGGCGCCCGGAAGTGGGGGCGGTCGCGGCCTCATTGGATGAGGCGCCTCCGCCTCACGGCCGGAGGCGGAGCTACTTCACGCTAAAAAGCAGAGTGCGGACGCTGGATCGCGCGGCTCTAGTCGCAGTCCGCTGTTGTTGTTACGTTGCTTGCCGAGGTTCGTCGGGTCATGGTGCCATCCTGACTGGAAAGAGGACGCTCCCGGGAGACGAATGAGGAACCACCTCCTCCTGCTGTTCAAGTACAGGGGCCTGGTCCGCAAAGGGAAGAAAAGCAAAAGACGAAAATGGCTAAATTCGTGATCCGCCCGGCCACCGCCGCCGACTGCAGTGACATCCTGCGGCTGATTAAGGTAGCGGGAGGCACGGGATCCTCCCGGGGCGGGAGTCAGGGGATGAGGTCCTTGTCTCCGGCAGGTTCCGCTTTCTCCGCCCGCCTTCCCCCGCCCCGGCCGGAGACTCCGAGAAGGAATCGCCGCCTCGCCCACCCCATTCCCTCTGAGCTGGCCCGGTCGGGGCCTCACTTACTTTTCTGCTTTTTCCCTTTCTTCTATGTGCATCGCCCCAGGAATTGGCTAAATACGAATACATGGAAGAACAAGTAATATTAACTGAAAAAGGTAACGCATCAGTGGCGGGGCGGGGGACGTCCCGGTGCCTTCCACCTTGACCGAGGCCAACACTGTCTGTCCCTGTTGCCCCTTCTTTCAGATCTGCTAGAGGATGGTTTCGGAGAGCACCCTTTCTACCACTGCCTGGTTGCAGAAGTACCCAAGGAGAACCTGACTCCGGAAGGTAATTGCCCCCCCTTCCAGAAGCTGGAGAGACCAAGTGTTGTGTAAGACGTAGTGTCTGCTGTGTAGAACCACTGGCAACACAGGCTCGAGTTACCTACTGAGAAGTTGGCCAGAAAAATAGCCAGCCAGTGTTCCAACTACTGAGGGAAAAAAAAAATAAATGTGCTGCACTTAATATTAGGGCGGGTTAAAAGAGCTATTTAATTATCAGCGCTGTGGAGACCCGCAAGAATTTGAGCTGATTAAGTAAGTATCAGAATGCTGTGGAGACCCGGAAAAATTAGGTATAAAGTCGTTTGTTGTAATTCAGTTTCATAAATGGTTCTTATTTGACCCTAACGTAACCTTTTTTGTATTTGTGTTAAATCACATTTTTTTTTTTAATTTGTCCCAATCTTCAGGTTACAGTCTCTAGCTTCGCCATGTACATGGCCCTTCCGTGTACATGGATGGGCGGGGAGGTAACTAAAAGATCCTTTACACAATAAAGTAGATGATCATGATAAATGAGGTAAGGCCCTACTATCACACACTTAAAACACGGTAGATCAGAAGCTCCATTGTACTCGCTTCCTGTTTGCAAAGGACTATAAAATGGCTAGAAAGTTTAATTTGAAACCTTTGCCTCCAATTGGAATTACAGACACCCATTAAAAGGGAGTCAGATGCTTTTTTTTCTTTCTTTCTTTCTTTTTTTGTTTTTGTGTGTTTTCTTTTTTCCTTGCTGGTCCTTGTTGACTGGTCAGAAGACAGAGCTAAAAGGGGAAGTTGGCGGGGGGAAGGGCGCTTAAGTTTTTTTTCTGAGGTCATTTCCTCAAGCTGGAAAAAATGAGCAGAAAACATAAGGGATGAGGTACTTTCTGGAGGTATGTGGATGTTACATCATACCTGGGTACCTCTGCTGCTTCCAGTTTAAAAACTGAGAAGAGCAAATTGAAAATGTGTGAATTGGAAGGCAAGTTCTGAAATTAAACATTGTACTTTTGGCCTGATGTCCTGACCTTAAGGAAGCAGAGTTTCTAAACTACAAATACTTACTATTCTGAACTGCCGTGTAAACCTGACTTATTCCCAAGTCAACATACCAGTATATCAATAGGATGTGAATAATGTGTGTGTTTAGTTTAAGACCATAGCACTTTCTCTCTGGCAAGTAATGAAAGCATTCTCACTTCCTGAGTGTGAGATCCAACAGATTGCAGAGTGGCCAGTCTACGGTTTTAGCCTGGCTTCAGCTAGCTCTAATATGTGCTTTTTGCAAATACATTTTCTAAGAACAGTGAGATCATCCAACAGTGACCTGGACTGCACTAGCATAAAAGTAAAGACAGTTCAGTCCAGTAGCTTATTTGTATAATACATGCATGTATATTTTTAAAAACTTATGATAGGCTTCTGATTTTGCAGCTACAACTTTGACAGATTGTCTTTCATCCATAACGCGTGTGATACTCTTATTACAGGACACAGCATTGTTGGTTTTGCCATGTACTATTTTACCTATGACCCATGGATTGGCAAACTGTTGTATCTTGAGGACTTCTTCGTGATGAGTGATTACAGAGGTATGGTTGAGTTCTGGCGGGGGAGCTGCTCTAAAGAGAAATCAGGGCTTGAAGTGCTTTAAAATGACTTTTAAAATGGTACTTCTCTTTCCTTTAGGCTTTGGCATAGGATCAGAAATTCTGAAGAATCTAAGCCAGGTACGTCTAGGTTTTTTGGTTTCCAGATTTGCAAGGGGTACTGGATTATCTGAATGACTGAATCAAAATTGGGTCTTGAAAAGCAGGTGAAATGTCACTGAGTTTGTGTTTTACTCTCCCGTGTACCAGGTTGCGATGAAATGTCGCTGCAGCAGCATGCACTTCTTGGTAGCGGAGTGGAATGAACCATCTATCAACTTCTACAAAAGAAGAGGTGCTTCTGATCTGTCCAGCGAAGAGGGATGGAGACTCTTCAAGATCGACAAGGAGTACTTGTTAAAAATGGCAGCAGAGGAGTGAGGAGTGCTGGTGTAGACAATGACAGCTTCCATTCTATTTTAGATTAAATTCTCAACTTATTCTGCTTTCTATCCTATTCGTAGTGAAATAATAGAATGAGCACCCATTCCAAAGCTTTATTACCAGTGGCGTTGTTGCATGTTTGAAATAAGGTCTGTTTAAGATGGCAATCCTGTATGCAGGTTGGAGTCAGATTTCTCTTGAACATCTTTTGATAAACAACAAGGTGGTATGATAATGTCTATGAAAAAACTTCATTCTTGTGAGTCATTTAAATGTGTACAATGTACACACTGGTACTTAGAGTTTCTGTTTTGATTCTTTTTTAATAAACTACCCTTTGATTTAATTGTTTGGTGTAAGCCTTTTTACTAATCCCTTATTTCCTAGACACTTCTCTCTGTTGAGTGCAAAATAAAAATGGCCAGGAAACAACTTTAAAATTATTTTAAAAGAGTTTTTAACCCAATTTAAAGTGCCTTATGGTCAGGAGCTGTGCTGTGCTGGTACTCTGAAAGTCTAGAAAGAAGCCAGTTGAATCCCAAAGTTATATATATAGCAACATGTAAAATATAACTTTACATTGAGGACATTGTACACTTAATCCAACAGAATTTGCAAGAGCTTAGAAACTAAGGCCCACAATGAAAAAGCTTACTTCTTTTATGAGTGAAAGAGGTGGAAATGGGATTCTGAAACACTGGAAGTTGGGGGGAAAAACATCTTGCCCACAACAACCTCATCCCACACAAAATATTATTCTGGAGGGAAACTGCTAATTGGGCAGCAACAAAAATTCCACATTTGTATAGGAAATTTGTAAACTAAAAGAAAGGCTGGAGTTGGACACAGGTACCAATCGGAAATTTGGTACTGCGTTAACACAACGGGCTTCTATGTCCAGAAACAATAGGAGTGAAAACTGGGGGGTGGGGAGAAGTGAATAAAAGCTTTCTCCAAGACTGAAAAAGAAACTCCTAAAGACGCTTGAAGAGGAGACAGTTTTAGACAGGTGAACTCCTTTTATTACTCATAACACTGACCTAAATTCCTAAACCCACTAATTCCCACAATAATGAAAGTGGTAGTTAATACCACTGCAGTGATTTCCAAGATTACTGTTTTCCAAAAGAAGTCATCAGATAACTGAAAAGCAGTACTCTTTCCTGTGTTCTCCAGGAAATAAATACTGGGCTTCTCAGTCCAAGGGGGATTTGTCCTGCAGCCCTTGGTTTCAGTGTCTTTTATGGTTTCCTAAATTAGAGAGTAGCCATATAAACAAGTGGGTTCCTGGACTGTATTTAACAGGTGAGCTTTGGGATTTACTGGTGGCTTAGAGAGCACGTCATGACAACAGGCTGAGTCCATTCTCAACCAGGGTCCTGCTAGGATGGCAAATAACTAACTACAGGAGAGAAACACTGGCAGGCATAAAAAGAGTTAACAGTAACAGAAGGAGCTTTGTGGGGAAAGAAGACATTTTGAAAATTGTGTTTTGGAAAGTGGGCCTCTTTGAGGAAAACAACTACATGCTGACTGTGGTTAAATATGTGAATAAATTAGATTAACCAAGTGAGTTACAATGTAACTCTTTGTTTTCTCAGTCTTCTTAGAGCTTAGCCCTAAAGGCCCAGTGTCGCCCCCATCAAAGCTTTTATGAAGTTTCTGTGTCTACTTTAAAGAAGTCCCTTAAGTTAAAAATTTAGAACCGAAAACATCACAGCAACAGCCCACTGGATGTTCAACTCTAAAGATACCTCTTTAAAAACTGAACCATAAAACAAATCTGTAAAGCTTGAAATCACCAGGCAAGAGAACATGTTCTGAGGAAATTATATGAAAGGAAATAATAAACACTGATAAACCTGGAAAGGGGGCCATGGGGAGGGGTACATGTAAGCAATACCTCTGTAAAGATAACTTTTAAATTAGTTTTACTAAAATATTATACCTGACATGATC